ATTATATTATAATTATAAATTTATAATTTTAAGTAGTATTGTAATCATAGTAGTCCTGAAAGTGGATAGGCGATTGCCTGGGAATTCACACTGACCCAATACCAAGGCCGACTGGGCATCTCTTTGGTAAGACAATAACCTAATCTATATCACTTTGGGCAGAATGGAACCAACCCTTCGGTCAAAAAAATAACAGAACGAACCGGCCCTCGGTTCATGGTCAAGCTTACTACTGGACTGAGATTTTGTTATATTCTCACTTTCCCTTGGACCAGGCCCAACTTTTAAATAAACCCAACCCAATTCATCAAATCACTTGTGGAGTCGTACTTTTAGGAAAAAGCCAATTAAGTCCTAGAATTCCTTCTGAAGCAAATAAGCCTAATGATTTTTTCGAGCGAGGCAAATAAACTCCTTTTGTTGTCTTTTTCTTTTTGAATGGAAAAAAAATGGTAACGTAAACATTAGTACACGAGATATTTTAACCTATCTATGCAATTACAATTCACTACAACTCCTACTCACCATCCAATAACAAAAACAAGCAAATTACATATCAACTCTTTTCCCAGTGCAGCAACAATTCAATCACCGTAAACATAAGCTCTATGATTACATAGACAAAGTCTGCACACTTTCAAGAAAAGAAAAATATACAGTAGCCTGCTCACCCATCCTTCCTTGAAGCCTCCCCTAGCCTCAGTACATTTCCATCCTCCCCTCTTCTTTTAGTCTTTTACTGATATTCCTATAGGTTATAATCCCACCCTGTCAAAGAGAAGAGACTATCATTTATCCTGCCCTTAATCTAGTAGTGAAAAACTTGGGTTGAACTATATCAAGTGGCTTATCAACTTGTACAAGAATATTCATGGTTGTTCTTTCTTTATTATTTTTTTTATAAATATATTTAAAAAACCCACCCACTTTAGATATGAAATTATAAAAATGTATGTGTTTTAAAACATGATATAGACATAACATCTATTTTAAAGTTAATTGGTAATAACTAGGGTAAGTTATCAATCTTATAGTTAACCTTTAAGCATACATATTTCTTCTTGTTAATAGATACATATACTAGATTGAATTGGATTGAAATTTCTCCCAATCAATGAGGTTGGTTTAAATGATTAAATGTTCAAAAGTTGAACCTAACTAAATTATGAACACCTTAGATTAATTATTTTTTTTTATAAACTAAGGCTTTTTTTTTTCTTATTCATAATGAAAGGTAAATTTCTCTCATTTTTACTTCACTCTATTTACATGTTATATAATTTAAATTCAAAATATCTTATTTTTAGTAGAAAAAATTACTGTTAAATTACTTAATTTTTTTTTTTGAATAGTTTTTACAAGGACCTGGGTAGAACCCAGGCCAGGAGGTGAGGGAAGTGCACCTGAAGTGGCTATTACCACTTGGCTCAAAGGGCTCGGTGCGTTAAATTACTTAAATTATTGGTTAAACTAAAGCCTTTTTTATTTGAATTGATAAGATTATCTAATATCTCTAGCTATTAATTAATAACTTATACTTATTACTCGACTATTGAAATCAACTCATAAAAATATTTTTTCAAACACTTTAACCAATTATTTTAAAAAAAATTATATAAGGTTGTCATTATCAAATATTAAACGCAACCTAAATACCTCCTATAACCTGTCCCCAAAAAAATGAAAAACCCTCCAAGTTAAGACTGTCCCTAAAGAGCAGCACGCTATATCTTAATTTTTTTTTTAAATAAAAAAAAATTGTATTGCTTATTAGAAAGTGTTTTAGAAGTAAAATATTAATTATTAAATTAAAAGATAATTAATATTTTATAATTTAATATAATTTAACTATAAGATACAAAATTCATTACTTATAAAATAATTATACATTTGACTGTGAGAGCTTAGCAAGATAATAGAATCTTGCACTCAAGATAGCTACATCTTCAATACAAAAAACTTATTTTTAGCATTTTATCATATCATGACACTTTTAACCTTTTACGTATACAAATTGAAAAAAATAACTTTTATTTAATATTTTGTTAGTTGACTGTTAATTCTAGTAATTTTGTTAGCTAATTATTAGCATTCTGTTATAGAAAATAAAAAATTTAAATTTTATTTTATTTGTTTCCATTAACAAAATGTTAATAGTCAATTAACACAGTTAACAGTCAACTAACAGAATTAACAGTCAACTAACAAAACTAACAACCAGTTAACAAAACTAACAAAACGTTATAATCTAATGTTAAGTAAATATTATTTTCTTCAATTTGTATAGGGGAGGAGTTAAGAGTATCATAATATAAAATAAGGTTTAAAACTTACAAACTTATTAAGATAAAATAGTTAAAAATAAGTATTTACCCATCTTGAAGTAAATTGAGGAAAATTATGTCAGATTCCGATTATAATCAAGAACAAAATGAAGGAAACGCCGTGATTACATTAATTCAACTTATTATAATTTATTAACATAAAAAAAAATTAATATAACTTATTAAATTCGGAAATACAAATGTTGTTGTTGAAAAGGTTGCTAGAGACTGGAGAGGCTCCTAACTTTCAAACATTTTTTTTAAAGGGTTTTAAGTGCTATTAGACTTCATTTTTGTGCACCATATTAAGTTTATTTTTTTATATAGTCAAACACATTACATTCCCCCCTTAAACTATAAAATTCACAAAAATTACCGGACTCCTCTAAAACATCGAATCACTAATAACTCAAGAAATAATAACCATTTTTTGAAAATCAGGCTACCACTCCACAAGTTTTAACCTTTATGGCTTGTTTGGAATGTAGGATAGGATTGGATTGGATTGGATAAAATTAATGGGAAGGGAATGGATTGGATGGGAAAAGATTAGACAAATACTAATCAAATCATGCATTTGGAATGTTAAGTTTTTACCCTTAAGCCAGGCAATCATATGTTAGAAAGCCAATTACGCCAACAAACCGTAACATTTTATGTTTGTCTAAGCTCGCAAGAAACGAATTTTCTCTATAAAAAGAATGAAATACCGTCCCCACCAATGCCCGCCATAGCAATCAATATATTATTACCTTGGAAACAAACATGGAATGACCATTTCTTGCGGCAGTCTCTTTCTTCAACCAATCACACCCGACTCACCAACCCCATTTTCTTCTTCCTTCTACGTCTAAAACCCATTTTTCCTTTCAGGATTTTGTCCCCAAACCGATCAACACATTTCCAGCATTTTTGGATGTATGGAGGCATCCCCTGTGCCGGCTTGGTTGCAGAGTAATCCCAATCCCAAATTGGGTTCTAGAACGGCGGGGGAGAGTGATATGGTGATTGGCGCTCTTGCTTCGCAGAAATCAGGCGCCGACCTCATGCAGAATTGTGATCTTCCTCCTCCTATGAAGGTGTTTATTGGGTCGGACAACGCTGTCGGATCTCCAATTAATAGGATTTTCAGCATGATGGGACGAGAGAATGGGAAGGATGAGTTCCAGGTATATAGAACTGGAGGTGAGGAGGACAAGTTGGAGCTCTTGAAGGCGCTGAGATTATCACAGACACGGGCAAGGGAAGCAGAAAGGAAAGCGGTGAGCCTGGCTGAGGAGAGGGATCAGATATCCAATGCCTTGTTAGAAGAGTCAATGAGGCTGTTTGCTCACCGACAGTGGGTGAGGTTGCTTGAGATTCAAGTCTCAGAGCTTCATTCAAAACGGAAGAATCAAGAAAAGCATTTGTGTCACTGTTATGTCGAGCGTGAGGGAAACGAAGGAGAGGATAAGAGTGGCATCCCGTGGCTTGTTGCCTTGGCATTTTGCCTAGGCATTGCAGGGATAGGATTTGCTTTTGGTTGTAGATATTTATTTTGAAAGTTAATAGAAGAAAGTATTATACCCTGTTCATTGTTGTATCCAGAAAATTTAAAGGAAGACAGGGAACTGAGTGTAAGAAAGACAGGCTTTGTCTTAATGTTTCCTTGTTCTTGTTTTCTCTTCATAACCCAATATTCTTCTCAGATCAAGGAAAAGTTCTGGGATAATATACTATCAGAACAAAAAAGGGTAGCTCTAGTTAGTGAAATGAAGAGAACGGCATGCATTAACACTGCTATACTAATGTAACTCGCTGCAGGTGGTCCTAGTCGTTGATGCATTTGTATACAACCTATATATACATATGTAAGATAACCATATATTTATATGATCATTGTAAACCTACAAGTCAATATGGAAGGCAGTCAGGAATTATTCGAAGGGTGAGTGTACAGACCTTAAATGGCCATAGCACTCTCCACTGGTAGTAAAGAAGTCCAGGCATACCCAGCAAATGTGCTTCCCGCATCTACACTCCACATGGTTGCATCCCTCGGTTTTCTCAATCGTAAACCCACAGACGGGGCAGGTTTTAACATGGTCCTTCCCTTTGCACCAGTCCTTCAATGACAAATCTGGGTCTTCCTTGAACTCCCGGTACCTCTCACATGAAATGTATGGGTGATACTCCAAGTGGCACCGAGTACAAGTTTCTGCAGAACATGCTCCACAGGCAAATGGCTCACCGGGTGTCCCTGGATCAGCAACCTGATAAACTGACGGGCAATCAGGAGATGGGCAAAACCTGATAGTACCCCGACTAGATGCAACAAATGCCCCCAGAGAAGCCCTGAAGAGTTCCTCTAACTTCTCAATGGGCAAGAGGGACTTCAAATCTCTAAGCAGGATGGGAGCTCTACAACCTTCCTGGGCACAGCAGATGGGGAAACTATCCAAATTTTTTATTGCAGACTCACATTGCTCCAACAGGCATAACTGACAGAACATGTGTGAACAGCTTTCAAGCTGGTACCCATCTTCCACTTCACACAAGCAAATGGGGCAGATAACTTCAGTATTGGACCTCTCTGCTGAAACATTAGGTCCACTACTCATTTGTGCAATCTCATAAACTATCTCCTCTACCTTGCACTTCAGCTCTTTGTCACCACGAATATATATCATATGATGCTTGGTGCTAAGTGTCAAGTTGGCCCCAGGTACCTTCTCTTTGAGCCCATGGAGGTCTGGCCCTAACTTCTTAACCACTTGCTTCATCAGGTCAGGGGGCAGGCCTTTGCCACGAAGGTGAACTTCAAGCTGCTTGCTTCCATGATAGTGCATTAGTGATTGAACCAACTTCTGCTCAGCCGCTGCAGCATCAACAGAAGAACCAAAGATTCTTACTCTAAGGCTCTGCCGGTCAAAGAGAATGTATGTTCTTGTCTCTTGCTGTATTGACTTCATGAGGTTGATGCCATCTCTGGAGAAAAGATGCTGTAGAACAGTTGGAGTGAGGCTTGCATGGTTTATAGTCCTGCCATTCACAAGTTCTTCCAGAGGCCTTCTCAACTCTGCCACTGTTCTTGTAGCATTAGCAGATATACGCACCCGATATGAACGATTGTCATTCTCCTCCAGATAGCATTCTACCCCTGAAAATGGTAACTCATTCCTATCAACCCTAGAGAATTTCACAGGACAACATCAAAAGAAGCTCCCTATAATCTTAATACTTAAAACACAGAAAAAGGTGAACTACAGAAATCCAAAGGATCAATCACAGAAGGGAATTTGAGGCTAAAGGAAGCCAACTTAGGAACAAGGCAATAGGGGTGTGCATGTATCATTCAAAAATGGTAAAATTTTATATAACAAAGACACTCAGACAAACAAACCAAGACCATGCCAATGAAGCCTTAGTGATTGAGTAGGTCCTAGAGGGGAAGGCGGGGGAAATGAACAAGATGATAATAATAATAATAATAATAATAATAATAAACAACCAAGACCGTGATACAAAAGTCAACTTCAATACTTCTGGTTTGAATCAGTTGTAACTCAACATACTGCACCTCATTCTGGGAAATGAATAAAAATTTAATTAAATCATATTACTACAGATTCAGTTTACTCAAGTAAATCAAGAAAAATAATCTGCTAGGCTAGTGGTATGTTAGACAAATAACACAACAAAAATCAACCATGTTAAATCATTCTATTAATCTGAACAAATAAGAAATACAATCAGGGTGTTTTTATAAGACAAATAAGGCAGGTAACAAAAACATTATATAATAATGACTCATTTCGGTCAAAATCTTAAGAGGTTCAAAGGTATCTTCTCAGTATAATTGGAGGATAAGCACGGTCTCTGGGAGGATGCTGACCAGAATGGTATCAACAGTTCTCCTCCCATATTTTAGTGCCTGTTTGGCCCAGCTTCTAAAAAGATACTCTGCCACAAAAGCAGAGAATGAGAAGGATTATAAAAAGATACTCTGCTGACCAGAAAGTTATCCGTGATTCAACTGACACAATTTTACCATGAGAAGGATTCAACCATTATATGTTTGTTTGAACATCCCAATTATAAAAATATGGCAGAGTTAAATCCCAAGAAGAAAGAGAACTCTCCAATTTACAAGCCCCAGATCATTTCTCAGCATGGAGGTTCATGTTAGCAAGCATGAGAAACTGGAATCTAATATATTGTACTTAAATTGCATGCATAGAATAGAATTACCTGTCTAAAATGTTGGAGAGAACTAATATGAAACATAGATAACTAAAACTTGGAAAAAGCATAAGGGTTAGCAGGTTCCACACCAATTTACCAATTTGTTTATCAGTTCATGAACATGTATTAACAAGTGCATGTGCCTTAGCAACAATATCAAGAAACAGAAAAACAATAAGATGGCTGAGACGGTAGGAATACCTTGTAGATGTTTGAAGCTTGCAAGTAAATCACCCAGTTGCTTCTTGATCACAGCATAGATGTATCCAGGACAGGATAAGGAGCTATGGAACAACTGCTGGCACTTAATTTTCTGCCATCGAAGACATCCAGGTAACACTTTCCCCTCTAGCTGCTCCAAAGCTTTTGCTGCCTCCAAATGTAATCTCCCATCAAAGGTGATAAAAGCTTTAATGAATTGATCCTTTGGCTCTGGTGGAAAGACCTGAATGTGACATGGAATAGTATGGAGATTCCTTTTAGGCATGAAGGGGACTATTTCTCGCAGGAGTGCTTCTTCATACCTACCAGATGGTTTATCTTCTACAGAATCTCCTCTTACAAGGAAAAAGTCCATGATCCTCCTTTTTGTTGCATTCCTCAGCACATCTAAAACTTCACTTTCAGAAAGTTCTTTATCAATTCCACTTATCACAACAGAATCGAGATATTTTCTGCCACGTTCACACCGAACAGGTTTCCTTCCTATTACCAAGTTGAAGAAATCTAAAAGCAATAAACCAACATCAAGTGGATCACATTTAACAATTCCAATCCCTTTACTAGCCCTACGAGGCCAATAAACTTTTGCCTTGACGCCAGGGAAAGAGAAAATTTTGTGATCACTGCCAAGGCCCATCTGTGAAGGAATTATCTTTAGTGAAGAACCAGCAAATTCAACACCATTCAGCTCAACTGCTTTCCTGACAGCATCAGGACTTAGAAATGTAACCTTACCCCACCTTTCCTTGTTGTCACTCTCTTGTCCATTACTATACTTGTGGATGGCACAAACATTTCCAGAAGCATGCTTCTCAAGAAACATTAGAAGCTCCTTGTCATCAATGGCATTCACATTTGAATGGAATATATCAACCGTTAAACATCTCTTTTCAAGTTCAAGATGCTTGATCTCAGCACCTGCTCCAAAGAGAGCTACAGGAGGTGAGGCACTGATCCCATGGTAGATGCATTTCTCCATGCACTCATTATGCAACCATTTTCTTTCACAATCAAGCACCTCATTTACAAGATCCTTAACCTTTTCCATACCCTGTGATGGAGCAAATAACAGAATCTCATTCTGCTCAACATTGATCTGAATACCAATCCGTTCATCCATACAGGCAGATCTAATCCGTGATTCAAGAGACAGAATATTATGTTTGGACTTCCCAGAGAACTTTTTTAGGAGAGTTTTGCCGAAACCAGTCATCACATGCATTTGCAACTTCCGGCTTTCCATCTTAGAGGCATCAAACAAGGGAGGAGGGTTAAGAGTATGTAAAGATTCGATGTCAAAAGCAGTTACACAGACCAAATACTGATTAGTTATTGCAAGGAGTTCCCCAAAGACAACCCAATTTGGCTTCTGACCAAATATTTCCAATGAACATGAAGGATGGAGCCGAACATGTTGTCCAGTCAATGCAACCTCATAACCAAGTTGATCACATCCAGAGTACATGGCTGCATTTTCTGCAAGTGAAGAGAGTATAACCTTCTTTAAACGTTTATCATGCTCAGTAGACTTAAGAGGATCCCATTTCCAGTTACTTGGAACAATAAAATTTAGCTCCTTCTGCAGGCAAAAGTCCAATTCCTTCACTGTGTCCTGGCATCTCCGCATTGATTTTGCATTTATACTGTTCTGCCAGCACCAACTGTTCTTCCTATCTCGAGGAAGATTCTCCCATTCCCTGTACACAGACAGCAAAGTAAAGAGATCACCACTGTGGTGGCAAAATTGCACCTTAAGACAATCAGCTTTTAGCTTATTATCATTAGTACCAACTCTGCAAAATATGCTACTGGCATTCGCCATAACAGCAGCAAGAACAATGCCCTCTTTACCCAAACCATGATTAAAACAACCTAGAATCATTTTACCAAGACGAGGCTCAATTCCTAATTTCACAATGTAACGACCTTCTTCAGATAATTCAAAAACATCATTCTTCTGTTTGATGGCTCCCAATTGCAAAAGATTCCTAATGGCCATGTCAATGGCTTTGGAACTAGGTGCATCAACAAAATCAAAACCCCGAACATTCTTAATGCCCAAAGCAAGGATCCTCAAAACTGCAACACCAAGATGAACTCTGCGAATTTCAGGCTCCTGGTTAGGAGCCATCAACTCAAAATCATATTCCTCATAAAGTCTGTAGCATATTCCAGGTTCTGTTCTCCCTGCACGACCAGCTCGTTGCTTAGCAGAACTCTGGCTGGTTCTGCATACTCTGAGGACATTCATTCCAGTGCTAGGTTCAAATTTGCTTTCCTTTACCATTCCAGAATCTATGACATACTTGACCCCTGGAATTGTAAGAGATGTCTCTGCAACATTTGTTGCAAATATAACTTTTCTTTTCCCATGGAACTGCTGGAAAATACGAAATTGGTCATCAAAAGACAACTTCCCATGCAATGGTAATGCAACTGCTGATGAAGCTTCAAAATTATCACAGGCCCATTCTACTTCAAACTGAGATGTCAGAAAGGCAAGAATTGTCCCTTCTTTCTCCCTTTTGTGAACCTCTATTGCCATCCTTACAACATCTGCAACATACGACGCAACTGTACTGGAGACAGAAGTTCCCTCAGTTCCACAAGGTACATATCTAATATCAACAGGGAAGTTCCTCCCAAGAACATGAAAGATATCACAACCAAAAAAATATTCTGCAAGTTGATCTGCATCTGCTGTTGCAGACATTATTACAAGCCTTAAATCACCCCTTCTGGTAAGTAAATCTTTGACCATTGCCAAAAGAAGATCAGTATTTAGGCTTCTTTCATGAGCCTCATCAACAATGATGCAAGAAATCCCAGACAAATTCTTATCATTCATATAGTGCTGTAGCAGACAGTTGTCTGTCATATATATTATCCCGGAATCAAACTGCTGATCAGATGAAAATGCTGGATAACAGCAGACAAAACCATCTTTATAACACCCAAGGCTTTCTTCCCTGACCCTGTGTGCCAATGAGATAGCAGCAATTTTTCGTGGCTGCGTACAAACAATGGACTCATTACCAGCTATTCCTGAATCAGCAAGGAACTGAACCAGCTGCGTACTCTTTCCCGAACCAGTCTCTCCAATCAGCACCAAAATCTGCTCAAATAACATTCATATAAAAATAGAGGTACATATTTATGGACCATTCAAAGCACCAACTCAAAACATGAACAAATTACGGTCCGGACATATTTTTACCCAAATGTACAGAATTATACATGGTAAACACATTTGCCATACCAATAAGCCAAAAAGAACAGGGAAAAGATCTCACTTGTTCATAGTGTATCCTGTTAAGAATCTCCTGCCTGCAGGTATAAATAGGTAAGCCATCCTCCAGCCTCCTACACTCCCTCAAAATTAGCCTATGAGTCCTGTCCCAATCACATTCCCCACCAAAATTAAAAAGCTGCAAACTCACTTCAGAAACACCATCCTCATAGGCGACCTCACCACCATTCAAATGTCTCAATAAGCAGCTCATAAAAGTTTTAAATTCCCTGAGACGGCTAGCAAGCAACTCCTTTTCGTCCAGCAGGCGCTTCTTCCTCTCATCTAGCCGGTTAAACACCACATAAGAATTCCTTTTCGTCATCCCCTTCGAGATCGCGGCGATCTCATTGGACATCTCCTCAATTCTCCCCTGCCACTTCTTGACCAAATCCCCCTCCAGCAAAGCTTTTATGTGCTCACAAAAAAGGGTCCTGAGGTTCTGGCCAAGTTCGTCCATATCGGAAGGAACGAGAACTTTGGATATGAACTTGGGGATAAAGGAGTGAGTCCCCTCCAAGCGGAAGCGCCAGAGGGAGGTAACGGCAGAAAGAGTATGAGCCCATTCCCGGAAAGATAGTTTGGCCGCGACTGAACCTGAGTTGAATAGAGTGGAACATTCTGGAGATGGGTTTAGTTTGGAAATTATAGTTTGAACATCGGGCTTCCGGAAGGTCGAGGAGGAGTCGGAACAGAGTTGGATTGTGAAATTGTAGCGAGGAGGGGTTGTGGGGAAAGGTGGGTGGTGACGATGGCGGGGTTGGAGGGGTTGAGAACTGGGTCTCGGGTGCTGGTAGCCATAGAATTGGCGGTGGGGTCTGCGGGTAGGTGGGTTGCGACTGGAATTAGAAGGAAAGGACCCATTCATCTCTGTATCTTTGGATGAGGGAAAAGCTTTCCAAGACCAAAAACATCACACCGGAAATGACCCGAAATTGCAGAGAAAATCCGGCCGGAGACGTTCCCTTGACACTGAAGAACATAGATGATGACGGAGAAAGACAACGACCTGCGAAATACAACGTAGTGAAGTCTTCGAGTGTCAGCACTAAGCCGCGCTTTTTGTTGAAGCTAAATTGCCAATCGCTTGCTTCGTCTGTATCGAACAATTTTTATATTAATTTTAGGGTTTACTTTTTTTTTGTTTTTGGGAAGTATTTTAGGATTTCGTTTAAAGATGTTTTTGTTAGATAAAAAACGAGAAGAAGATGTTTTTGTACATTTGGACGTAATGTGGAAGTCACAAACATAATTATTAGTAATAGAGAGTTTTCGAATATAAGTTATTTTGTAGGGACTAAGAAAAATAAGTATTTTTAATAATTAAAATATTAAGGATGACGATAAAAAAATAAAATATTTTTAATATATTAATACATAAAAAAT